GCGGGAGGAGCAGTCGTAGCCGTCGTGGAAGTCGATGTTGGTTGCAGCTGTAGTGGCCATCTTAGTTGTGATGGAAGCAGCCATGGAGGTTTTTCGTCGCCGGCAACCAATTTCTTTAAGTGAGCAGTGATAAATAGGTGACTGTCATGCGCGGTGATGTAGCTGCCTTTGCAATGGCTGAGGAGGAGGCCTTGAAGCTCGCATGCAAGCTAGGTCGTAGAAAGATTCCCTTCGCATTATTCCGTGATGATAGTAAAAAGAGCTTGAAGCCTGGTTTCCAGAGAACCTCTGCAAGGCTGCGGTCACGGCGGCTAGGTGCCCTTGGCAGGTTTGGGGAAGGTAGCGTCCAGTTAGAAAGTTAGGGGCCGGCAGTTTGAGCCTTGAGCGTCCAAGAAGACTACCTTGTGGGCCTTGTTGCTTCGGTTCAATTCTGGGTGAATTTTCACTGCGCTTCAATTTGAAAGTTCATCTTTGGAAAGAGAGGGCGCGAGCACGATCCTGTTGGTGGTCGCACCGGTATTTTCTACCGGCCGGGGTGTTTGCTGTCCCCCGTAACACTGCAGGATTCGGTTCGGTTTTGGTCGGAGGAAGGCTGTAGCAATCAGAATCTTAAACCCGCTTCCGCTATATAAAGCTCTCCGCAGATTTTTTTGAGCAAAGTTGGGAGCCATCTTAAAGAGATGCCAGCCAAGGCTCCACGCGGAGGTTGCGCCACTGTGAACCGGGGAGGCCGAGCCCTGAAACCTAGGTTGGCCTCAGAAACAAGAGCCATGAGTGCAACCAGAAGAACGACTTCACTGACTACCAACAACAGCTTGAAGAACAGGCAGCCAACATCATCATCTGAATTGTAGTGTCATTGCTACAATACTTCCACTCGAAACGGTCCATCATGAGAAGAAACAGAACATCATCTCCATCACGACTGTGAGCGAAGCATACATACTTGTAAGCGTCATGAGGGCGATCATAGTGGTAGTAATCATGTTGGCCGGATATTCGCATCAGCGATGCTACGATGCTATTTGCCATTCCCTAAGCACTCCTGGCTCATAAGGGCCAGAGTGCTCAGACTGCGCTGTATCCAACAACATCACCAATACAGCTCTGGTCTCCTTCCCAGTGTCATCAGAAACCTCCTGATGCGCATTTGCACAACAATCCTGGTAGTCAGGTAGTCCTTATCTCATAAAAGTCGGCATGCTATGTCGCGAAGCAGATCGTCAAAACTCTACTCCGGCGGTTCGTAGCATGTTGGTGTTTCGGCCTTGCTTTGTGAGAGCGCGGTTGTAGCCCTACCGCATCGAGGTAGGCTCCGAACCTGAATCCTGTAGAATCCTCCGAAGATCGTGAAGCAGTGGGTGTGCATGTTGCGAGTCATGTGCAAAGCAATGGCGGGCCGGGCCCATTCTTGTCGAGAGCGATTTGTGTTGCTCCGTTGTTTTGTTTGGAGCGAGGGGGGAAGGTGCAAAGGAGGGCAGGAAGGATGAAGGAGGAGGGATGCAAGGAAGGGAGGACCGATGAAGGATGGAAGTCCGGAAGCAAGGAAAGTAACAGTAACAAGGAAGAGAGAAAGGAGTCAAGACAAGAAGCAGCACCGAGGCAGGAAAAAAGAAGCGAGACAAGGACAACTGTAAGAAAGGCACAGGAGGAAGTAAGTAAGTAGGCAAGTAAGGAAGTAAGGAAGGAAGGGAAGTTGCAACATTTTGCCAAAGTCGCACTGCTTGTCCAAAGTTGCAATGTTTTGACAAGTCTGTATACGTTGCGCTAGTGACCCAGTCACTGGGTTTCTTACTTCCTGGACTCCTTAAGGAACCAGCGTCCCTTGCTTCTCCCAAATTGAAACACGTTCTTCAGATCTCAAACCAATCACATCAGGGGCAGTTTCATTAGACTCTTCAGCTTGCGAGTTTTGTTCAGTTCTCAAGCTGTGTGGTTTTGTGTCACAAGTCCTAAGATTCGATGCTAGCAGTGTGAAGCGGGTTTGGGCTTGTTGGAGTCAACAAACGGATTGGGAAATAAGACCAAAATAAGAAGGAAATAAGAACCAAATAAACATGAAACAAGCTCAATCGAGCAGTAAGCATGAGCCAAAAAATAGAAACTAATAAGGACTAATTGGGTTTACTTTTTTTTTGGGGGGGGGGGGGTTCATGGGGGGAGGGGTTTGGCATCTGTGACAGTGAGGGGAAGGTCTTGATACCCACGGGAGAGGGGGCTCCATGAAGCATCGTAGTTGTGCCCGAAGGGCAGGAGTTCAGGTTTGGGCAACATCCATCTAGTGAGGCCACGCATGCCGTTTCACCCCAGTTTAGTCTTAGGCTCAGCTGCACAGGACAGTGGGGCCGGCCACCGAAGGGGGAGCATCCTCAAGCCTGAAGCATAGGCAAAGCATCCAGCCCTTTCTGCACGAAAGAGTATCCAGCGTGAGCTTGCCGAGGTCAACCCTTTGGCCCTGGGGTTTGAGTTGTTTATTACACAAGGACGCAGTGTTGCTGTCTCTTTCTGTTCGCCGCCTGTCTTGATCAGGCGAGCCTTGTGCTCTTACAGCCTTAGACTTTGCGATCGAAATCCGCTTTCGTTAATTTGCCTCTGAAGCCAACAGACCCTTCTTACCCGTGGGGAACTTCGGGTTTCATCAGGACCTCAACGAAAGCAAGTTCGGCTGCCGTTTGAATCAGAACAATGCAACTGTGGCAGTCCGGGGGTTCCTTCTTACATCAGTGAGGATCCCGAGCCAAGACTCCTGTCGGAGTTCTCGGGATAGACCCTCCCTGAGGTGGAGATCAAGACTTTGCCGGCAAGAGTCGATCCGAAGGCTCGAGGCACTCCCCTCCGCCTGGCCAAATTCGCTTGCATTGTGGGATGGCCCCGTTGGCGGAGCGGAAAACAGGAGCTTTGGACTCATGGCGTTCGGGCGATTTTTGAGCCGATGTGAGAAGTAAAACAGCTTTGCAGAATCCATTGGTCCATTCACCGGGCTTCTGCCTTGAAACCGATTGTATTCTTCTCAGCTGATGTTTTTTTCTTGCGGCGGACTGTAGTGCGAGAAAAGCCTTGCTGTGATGTTCGGAACTTCACGTTCATGTACAGGTACATATCCAATACTTATCCAATCTTCAAGTTGGATCGTGGGGCTTCGGCACTCCTTCAACGGATACCACAAGGCTCTTGGAGTGCCACTCAGTGTGCAGCAAAACGCGAAAACCATTGAGCCTGAAGAACAATGTGTGGTTTTGAGCAAGATAGTGCAAATGCTCACCCATGTCTCCTTCGCAGCCGAAGAATTTTTGAAAGCAGTTGCAGCTAGAGTAACTCAGAAAGATTTACAGTTGTAACTTTGCGTTGGCGCCGATACCACCCGACGTACAGGCTTGATGTCGACCGTGAGCCTTCAATGCTCGGTATCTGTAGCGGACAACAGATGCGGAAGTACCAGAGGTGCAAATACAAGAGATTCAAGGGATGTGAAGTTCAGTTGGGCCGCCATGGCCGACTGGCATACGCAGTTCCTTTTGCCCTTCGGCGAGGAGAAGGAGCAGTTTTTGAGGAGGCTGAGAGGGAAGCAAAGACTCTGCAGCGCAGAAAGGTTTCAGAATTTCAGTTGAAGATTGATACAAGCTCCGTGTTTCCGGACCCTTCCCGGAGATGTAGCTGGATTCCGCTCGGAAATCCAGCCTTCAAAGTCCTGCAGCCCTCGATGTTCGAACACTTGGAAGCAGATTACGGAAGTCACTAGAAGCAACCCAACTTCGACCTATGTTCATCCAACTATTTCTGGACCTTCCTGAAGGAGCACATCGACTGGCATGCAGAACCGCCCAGGACTGGTGGGGCAAGAGTCTTGAGCACCAGCTTGCACTTGGCATACAGCACGCTCACAGCGGCATGATCTTGAGAGTTGACAGAATACCGACGGCCAGATGGATTCGAGAACCGAGCGGCTGCTCTCCGACAGACCTGGAATTGTTACCAACATCATCTTGATCATCGTCATCATCATCGTCACCACCCTCGTCCTCCTGCTCCTCCTCCTCCTCCCCATCATCATCAACGTCATTGTCAGTTAGTCCCAACTGCTTCCCCTGCTCCTCTTCTTCCTCCTCTTCTTCCTACTGCGGTTGTGTTGCTCGTGCTGCACGAAGTTGCAAAGAGAAGAGACCGAAGCGATCCAGAAAAGCACGCAATTCAAGTGCCAAAGCTTGGGTCCCAAACGCACAGACGCAACAACTCCTCGGATCCAGACCGGCCCCATTGATCGTAAATATCGGGCCTGCCACGGTCGGCTTCTTGCTCACACATGCTGTAGCGACAACGACGCAAGAATAGCTTATCTGCACCTCAAAACCTGCAAGAGCTGGAGCCAGAACTGCTTTCCAGTGCGACATATTAAAAGCTCCCCTAGACGTAATTAACATTGCTCTGCAAAGCTTGGCCGTGACATTTGTACGTCAGACCGCATCACCTCCACGTGCCGGGGCTGCCGGAGGCGGCCCGGGCTTTGGAACACCGACGCCCGGGAAGGCAGCTCCTGAAGACGCTGGAACTTTACAGCTTTACATTTTGCTTAGGAGTTCTTCTTTCCACTGCGGGCATGGAGTGTGTTAGAAGTTTGGCCTACGAGGAGTTGGTTAGCATTTCAGGCATTGCTGCTTTGCGCCATTGCGTGCCCCTCGCGCATTTTCGATCTTTTGGGCTGCATGAAGGTCAGGGCGACTAACTGACAGAAACTGTGCAAGTACTTTTAAAAGGGTGCCAGAAGCAGCAAGTGCTGTGAGATGAGACAAGCCAGAAGAGCCACCAAAAGCAGAGTAGAGTCTCCTGATAGAGGTGCGAGCTTGAGAACCGCTGATGAGAATGCTGATGATGAAAATGCCGGTGCTGGTGGAGACAACTGCGACAGAGATTAAGGCAACAGCAAGTGGCAAACGATTGCTGATCTAAGGACGAGAATGTTTAGTTTAAGCGTGCCATGAGGCAAACCTGGCACAGCCGCCAGCATGACAAAAATCATGATGGTGGCGTACTTGAAGAACCTTGTAGCGGATTTTCCTGTCGCCGGTGGTCTGACGTTGCCGGGAATGATGAGGAGCTGGAATGTCATGGCAGATGACAAGAAGGACAAGTTGAATAGTGACAGCAACTGCCTATGATAGTCACCTCTGCTAGTGGCGGCGGTCATGATGATGGAGCAGCATGCCCCCCCCCCCCCCCTTGCTTCCAAACGTATGTTATGTTCTCCGGTCAGCAGGCCCGAGTAGCGAGGGTGAGGGAAAGAAGGATGATCGTCATGGTCGCGGTGGTGTTTGGGATCTACGCTGGCATAATTATTGGAAAAGGCGATCCGAAGGCCGCTATGTGCTACCGCATGCGTATCCACAAGTATTTTGGGCTATTACAATTGTCCCGTTTCCCCCTACTCAGGAAAGGCAGCTTCCACACGTATTGCGCCCAAGATGAGCTGCAATTAGTTGTGGCGCTCGAGACGCCGGACCAGGCCAGCACTGGTCAAACAAGTTTCAGGTTTGAGACGCATGAGGAGATCAGACAGCCGAGAGAACCTTCGTTCGACATCCAGCGGCCACCTGAATTCGTAATCAGCACGAAGGTCTAGTCGAGTCGAAACCTCGCGTGGCCAGCCCGGGTGCTCGTGTTAGCATCGCAGGCAACAATCCGTCCGAGGTGTGAGAGTGGAACATTGAAAGGGCGAGCTGCTGGAAATCCTTCACGTTGTCGATTTAAGAGCCCAGGGCTTCTTCTGCGTTTGGACATTTCGGCAGAATCGTATCGTCTCTAAGCCCAAGACCCAGATTTTCAAAAGAGTATCTCACAGCGCCACAGCGCCATTCGATTCCCGACCGTCTTTGCCCACGACCCAGGCAGCCCGGCTTCGAAAGCAGGCGGCCGAGTTGGACAGCGGCATGGGTGGCATGCAGGTGACGGCATGCGAGAGCAGAGCTTGTGCCTGCGCGAATGCAACAGGTAAGCCGTAAGCCTTCTCATTGATATGACTTTGGCGCAAATTTGAAGTTTGTCGGTTTTGCAAGTGTCTCAAGAGAGAGAGAGAGAGAGAGAGAGAGAGAGAGAGAGAGAGAGCGAGCTGCCTGGGGGCAGGGGACAGCAGTTTTGCATTTGTGAAACTTCAAATGACACCTGACTCAGCAGGAGATATTGCTCGACCAGTTTGTTGTCGGACCCTTATTGGGGGGCATTGCCTATCCTCAGTGACAGCAGCTGAGTGGTGCTGACCTTGTCGCACAAGTTGGGACATGATTTCCGTTTGGGGCCTTGGCTGGCTTCGCAGGAAATTGACTTGCAAAGACCGCGGTGAGGTGTTTGTCGCGTGAAGACGACGCCTGCATATTTGAGTCTTCTTTACTGTGGGTGGCTTGGAGCTGTGTTGTTTTTGCGCATGACGTACAGATGTGCGAGGTCTGTTTGCGTCTCTGTGCGTGTGTGCGTGTGTGTGTGTGTGTCTGTGCGCGCGCCTGCGTCTGCATGGATTGCGCTTCTTACTTCCTAGTTTACCTAGTTCATGCCAAAGCACCCCCACACACTTCATTTTTCACTTTCATAGTTCTGCAGGGGGACAGGGCGAGAGCAGAGGGGCTCAGTCCTGCACTGTGGGCAGATGTACCTGCCCACACATCTGCCCTGGGTCCCAGCGAGGGCGTGGGGATACGTCTCACTCATTTCAGTTGGCCTGCCATTCCTTGTGTCTGGCATGCCGGGGCAGCACCCTACCTGCGCGGATCATTCTCTCGTTCTCCGTAAGCCCTTCCTGGTGTCTGGCATACATGTATGATTTGTATGATATGGTTATGCATGATGATGCATGTCAGGGTGTTGTTGATGTACGTTCATGTATGTTTGTGTACGATATGTTATGCATATGTATGTCAATGTATGTCTGTCTGCCTGCCGGGCTGGCTGTCTGTCCGTTCGTCCGGCCGTCTGTCTGTAAGTATGTATGTAAGTATGAAGATGTATGTATGTATGCGTGTGTATGTATGTATGTATGTATGTAGACGTATGTGTGTATTCGTGTATGTGTGTATGTACGTATGCATGCGTGCATGCATGCATTTAAGAGCTTTTCGTCTGTCTGCCTGTCTGTCTGCCTGTCTGTCGGTCTGTCTGTCTGTCTGTCTGTACGCGCGTATGCATGTAGCAATGTATGTAAGTGCGTGTGCGGACGCACGTGGATAATGCATGCTTGGCTTTGGTGGGTGGCTAGTTGGTCGGGCTTGCTTTTGAGGAGAAAGACTACGGCGACGATTTGCTGCTGCTGACGGCGACAGAGCAGCCCGGTACCACGACAAGAAATTCAAGAGTACTTTTGGAGAGAGATACTGAGGTCTGTCCTTAAATGCGAACCGCTAAGCGCATTATCATAAACTCATCATCATCAAAAGACTGTTCGCCCCAACGAACAACACCATGGTGCTGTCGCAAGCGGCTTGCGACAGCACCATGGTGTTGTTCGTTGGGGCGAACAGTTATGATAATGATCTTGCCGACGATGCTGATGAAGTTGGTGATGGTGATGGCCAGGTTGGGCAAATGCTGGTAATGGTAATTGCAGGTGTACCGTGCAACGTGCAGGATGCATGGCCCCTGCTAAGGATGACACGCCATCACCGATGGCTCAAGTCGGAACGTGAAAGTTGAGTGATGTGTGATTTGGGGGTTTTGAATTGGGGTTTGGTGAGCCTGGGGGCTCGACAGGCCCATGGAGAGTACGTACGATCCTCTAGACGATGTTCCTCATTCTGTTAGAATCAATATCAATAGTCCGAGTCCTCCTTCTCATTATAGCATCGTCACGGGAACTCCTTCCCCAAACACTGCTCATAACCAACAGGTTATGAGCCCAAGGGCTCCCCTTGGGCAAGACTCTGCACTTAGTGCAATTCAGCACCTGCAGCAACAGCAACATCAGCATGCATCAGCAGCGGCAACTTCTGCAGCGGACCTTCGAGCGGATGGGTCAGTGGTGTTTAAGAGCCTCTCACAGGTGATTATACCCCCTGACATGATATCACGACTTGAGGCATTGCAGCGGCTTGAGTTGGGACAGTTGGCAAACCTTGATCACGTTCGCCATAGCATGCAAGGGATGGCCGATGAGTTGTTCCGTAGATCAGAGTTGCTTGGCCAGTGTGTCATGAAGGCTGCAGAAGGTAGCAAGGAAAACCGAGAACAGATTGCACAGCTGCAAGCGTCAGTTGGCGCTCTGCAGTCACAAGGTGTACACCAGGACCAGAGGCTGGCTTCGCTATCCACCGAGCATGTTAGGACGATGGGCCTTCTTGCGGAGTTCGAAGCTGGTATAAAAGATACCTGGAATAAGGCAGCGCAAAGAATGTCAGAGTTAGAAAGCAACTTCGAGGGTGTTCTGGCGAGCCAAGCTGGAATGCGCGAGGACTGCGAGGGATTGCTGGACAAGTCTGCAGAAGAGCAGAAGCAGTATCTGGTTGTGATGTTGGAAAGACAAGCTACAACTCTGCATGCTGTGAGTAGGAAGCAGATAGCCAGCGATGAACAGATTGAGCAGCTGAAGCTGAGCCTGGATAAGGCTCAGTCGGAGGCTGTGGAAGCCAATCGCAGATACGAGCAGAGCTTAGAGCAGACTCGATGGGTGATTTCCAGGGTTGCTGAGCTTGAGAAACTTGTTGCTAAACTACGGCAGCGAGATGAAACGATTCAGAAGCAAATGGGTCTGGATGCAGGGCTCGTTGGCTTGAGAGGGTCGGCTTCACAGATGGCTGGCTATGGAGCTCGAGCCACACCGCCAGGACCGCTGCATTATGCCATGACCCCAGAGCTTCCAGCAGCGAATGAGACTGCAGAACAGTATGATGAAGATGTATGGTGGGGTGGTGAATCGGCATGGGTTGCACAGGATGCTGAAGCTGGTCTCCCCCCGGGGTTGTCTTTTGGTCCTTGCTCTCAACCTCCTCCTCTACCTCCAGACATGACAAAGAAGAGTGAGGGAACGGAGAGACTGACATTTCGGATCAATCAAGCGACCTACAAGCTTCTCAAAGACGCGCCAACGTTGGACCTTTCTGCTGGTGGCGAGCCATGGGAGGTAGGAATGACAGTGCATCAATGGCGAGTTGAAACTAGGACAGTTTTGGCAGCTATCCATTCGGGTTTTGCGGGTTACTTCGATCGTACATACGAGGAAGGGCGGCAGCGTTATGAGAAGAAGAGACTCACTGGATTTTTTGCGCACCGAGGTGGGATCGAGGCAGAGATGGAGACACGATTGTTTTTGTCCATGTTGAAGAATCTCCCGCAGGCAGTCCGTCAGCCAGTGGTGGAAAGCTCAACTTCAAACAGCGTTCGCTGCGTCCTTTTGTTCGAGAGTCTTCATGAGCATTATGCCCCAGGAGGCAGAGAGGAACTTGAATCGATCCAGCGTTACTTGAGACAGTTGCCATCGGCACCGGATTTCAAACCTGCAATGACGACGCTTCGACGTTGGAAGTTGGCGAGAGGTCGTGCTCAATCCTTGGGTCTTCCCGAGCAAGCCCCCAACGAGAGTCTAGCGGCGTTGGACAGCTTGATGCGAAGTTTAGAAAAGAAGAATCAGCAGCTATCCATGAAGATCAATCTCTTGAGGATGCAACCGGACATCATTATTCCAGCGACTTCGGGTGTGGATAGGTATTTGGCCTTGCTTGAAGTGGAGTGCAGACGTCTTGCATCGGATCAGGAGGTTAGGGATGCTAGGGCGGCTCAAAGCGGCGAGGTGGTGGTTGCTGCAGAGGTGGCGGAAAAGGGCAGGGGACGTGCGTGCTACTTTCATGCGAAGCCCGGGGGCTGTTGGCGAGGTGCGAGTTGTCCTTATGTTCATCAGGATTCCACGAAGGGTGGAAAAGGTAAAGGAAAGGACAAAGGCAAGGATAAAGGTTCGGGAAAGGGCAGTGGGAAATCCGCTGATGGCGCGAAGCCCGATGCTACCCCCAAGCCAAAGCCTAAGCCAGAAGCCAAGCCAAAGCGTAAGCCAGAAGCCAAACCAAAACCGAAGCCAGAGGCAAAGCCTAAAGCTGAGGTGAAAGCCGCAGTTGCTGGTTTGTTGGGAGTTGATGTGGGTCCCAGGGCCTCGACGGTTCGGGCTGTTGCCATGATGGCGCGGGGTTTGGGGTCGCATCAAGGTTCGTCAGACAATGAGAGTGTGCCTGAGCAAGACTACAGAGGAGAACAACCCAATTCCCCGGAACCGGCGTTGGTTTCGGATGCTCACTCCAGTCTTTCGGAAGCGGGCTCAGCACATTCGAGTGGAACTACCAACATTGAAAGTGAGCCTGAAAGTGACGACTCCAGGGATCAGAATAGACCGCCACTGTGGTACTTAGTTCTCCATCAAACCGAGTATGCTCTGTTGTCTAGTGAGTCTAGTGGGCCTTTTCAGCTGTTGACCCATGCCATTGCCCCTAGCAAGTTAACGGACCGAACTTGATTGCTGTGGTGGGCATCTGGCAGATTCTTGAAGAGCTGGATTTCCAACTTCCGATTGAGGATCTTCAGATAGGGTTGAATCATGTTGAATCAGTACATTGTTGAAGCTCATCAGACATTGAGTATGTATCAGGACGGTGTGCTTAGGCCTGTTGTGCTGGTTCATGTTGTGGATGAAGACACGGGTCGTGAGCAGATGCTTGCACTGACGGAGAGCTCGGTCCCTCCCAGGGTTGAGAGTTGGACGTTGGAGGATGCTAGGAGGGGTTTGAGACTTCGGGATTTTTCGGGTGCGGAAATTATGGCCCTCCGGGACCAGAGTGCGAAAGCCAAGGGCGCTCCACCAGCGAAGTCCCCTACTGTTCGGGCACCCCCGGGATACCCGACTGCCGTTCCGAAGCCTCCTTCAGTAGCAGCCTCGAGTTCGGTTCCAAAGGCAAAGGCATCTTCAGAATCGGCTTCGAGCTCAACTCCGAAGGCAAAAGCACCATCTGTAAAGGCGTCATCTCCTGGGCCCCAGGCCTCAACAAGTAGGGCAAGTGCGGCTGAGAATCAGGAAGGCCCGACGGTCGCTGCAGGGAGATCTTGTTTCGGCCCGAGGGTACTGGTTGACTCAGGTGCCAACGAGGTGATTAGACCTTGTCCTGAAGGGTTTATGGTCTCCAGATGCAAGCATACTCATGTTGCGCTTGCATCGGGTGATCTGGTAGATGCGTGGAGAACCCGGGACGGAGAACTCATGGTGGGAGAAGAGGAATCCGACAAGGACGCTGATTGGATTCTGAGCGTACGGCGATTGAGAGGGATTCGAGGAGCGTTTGTTTGGGATGAGTTGGGGCCAAAACCCGGGTGATGTACCATGATGGTGAGACGACCCTGACTGTGCATTGCTTTGAGCAGAACGGGCTTCCATACATTTCTTGGGAAGACTTCAAACCCATCAGAGTGCTGTTGGCGAGAGACTGGAAGAGTAAGGGGAATGCCCGCGTCATGAAGATAGAAGATGGTGTTCTGCAAATCCGGGATTACATGCCTACAGTGGAAGCAGTGGGAAAGGTTCAGGAGGAGAGTGCAGCAGCCCCAGCGGCATCGGTAACAGATGCTGGTGAGAAGAGAGCAGAGGAGCTGTGCTCGAAGTCCACAGTGACCTTTGATGAGGTTTGGAGCGCGGTTCAGCTGGCTAGCTTAGTTGAGAGGCGAACAGACAGGATGAAGCAAGTCGACAACGAGGATGCCAAGACGTTGCCTTTGTGGACTTTCGGGTTGTTTGTTCATGGAGGGGTGCTGGGAGTGACTTCAGAGACCCGTCGGCATCCATGGCTTGTTAGGCTTGTCTGCAAGTTAGTGCGGCAGCAGGAGCCAGACCTGGAGTTCTTGTCACTGAGTATGGCAATCAACTTGGTGTTCCGGTCTCATCGGGATCGCAACTCTTTGGAGCGAGAGTCTGTGGTACTGGGTTTGAGCCGGTTTCAGGGTGGACAACTCTGGATTGAAGGGCTTCCGGGGGAACTTGGCAACACTGCTAAACGGCACATCGACAACGAGGGGCAGCAGAAACCTGGAAAGGTGCACGAGCTATCTCACAGATGCGTGAGGTTCAATGCTGCTGTCCGCATGCATGGGACAGAACCTTTTCAAGGAGTGCGAGGGGTCGCGGTTGGCTACACGCCACGCGGTCATCTCAACGTGTCCTCGGATGTCCTGAGGGAGCTGTGTGAGCTGGGTTTTTATGATGAGAGAATGCAGAAGCCTCAAGTCAGCGTTGGAGTCAGCGAAGGCAGTGCAAACAACATCGAGCACGGCAGCAGCAGGCTAGAAGCAGAGTGCAACAGCATCATTCCCGAGCTTCCCTCAGCCGCAATTGATCAGGGTCCTTAGGAGGGTGATGTTGTTCAGGGTGTGACGCATGTCGTGCAGGGAACCCAGGACTTTGGAGATTGGGATTTTCAGGGTGTAGGCGCGGCTAGCGCGCAAAGCCCAGATGATGATGATGATGAGGGTTTGCAGCTAGAAGGGTTCATGGCTTGTGAAATCGCTGCGAAAGAGGTGATTGATCTGACTGCCCCGACTGTGCGTCCTGGACACACTTTGAAGGATTATGAAGCTCGCGGATTGCGCCGCCCGCATCGTAAAGTGACTGCTGATCAGATTTCCAAGGGAGTCCTCTCGATCGACCTCGCGGGACCGTATGTGGCTGCCTATGATGGTACGAAGTATGCGCTAGTAGCTGTGTTTCGGATTGACGAGCATACGCAGCTTCACTTCATGAGGCCTTTGAAGAGAAGGTTGTGGGGTGAGATGTTTGCTGCGCTGCAGAGTATCTTAGCTCAGGCATCGGCATTGTGCGGTGAGCGACCTCAGGTGGTGAGAGTGCATTCCGACCGAGCACGCGAATTCCTGGCACGGCAAGTGGTTGAGGGGATTAATGCTCTGGGGGTGTATAAGACTACTACTGCAGGGTTTGATCCGCAAGCCAATGGTCTAGCTGAAAGGGTTGTGGGATTGATGAAGGAAAGAGCGCGTAGTTTTCTTATCCGGGGAAATGTGAACAAGAAGTTTTGGCCTCTTATGATGGCTGAAGCGGCGAGGAGACAGAGGGATGCTACGCTGAACTGCAGGCCCCAGGGCAAGCTTCCCGATCCTGGAGACTTGGTTGCTGTCAAACTTCAAACCACAGAGCCTTTCGGACCTAAGGTTGAAGCAGGCCAGTTCTTGTGCCGGTCGGACACTGTGGTGCAGGGTTCTTTCGTTCTTGTGAACCGTGCTGGCCAAGAGCATTTGATCACAACACGTTTGCCAGCTGTGATTGATAAGAAGCTTGAACAGTGGAGAACGCATGTTACGCCTCTGGGTGACTTGATCTGGGTCAGCTCTCTAGGGCAAGTCCGGGATTGCGAGGTTGTCCGAGACCCTGGGGTAGACCTGGGAATGCTTACGGTAGAGGAGCGTGAGCAAGGGCAGCATGCAGAGCAAGGGTTTCCGTTCGTGGCATTCGCTTCGGCTGAAAATCATTTTGAGGAGGAGCCAATACCTGTGAACCAGATGGCTCAAAAACGGGTGGCGAAGGCGGATGACAAGGCGGACCGCTACAAGATCCTGTCGTACGAGGTTGAGCAAGAAATGAACAAGGCGGAAGTGAAGGTTGCTCAGCTGGTTACTGACACGATAGATGCGAGAGTACTTTCGGATCCTCAGACGCCGGCGGATGAGAAGCTGAAGTGGGTGAATGAGGGACTGAGGCCTGAGCTGCAAACGCTTCAGGCAAAGTAGATTTATGAGGAATGGGATGAGGCGGATGTGCCGCCGGGTGCAAAGGTGCTACCGTCCAAGGTGGTGCTGACTAAGAAACCTCTTCAAGATGATGCTGAAGTGGACATCAACGAACCCTTGAGTACTTGGAGGGCCAAAGCGCGGATAGTGGTGCGCGGAAATTATGAGCAGAATACTGTTGGTCATGACCCAGATAATGCGAGCGCCAACCCTGCCATTGAGCACATCAGGTGGAGCGCAGCCTGTCTTGCTGGCAATCCAAGCTGGACGGGACTGGTGTTGGACATCACGCCGGCGTTCCTGAATGCGAAGATGGACAATGAGCACACTTTTGTCAGGCCTCCAAAGGTGCTTTCCCGGGAAGGATTGGTGGAACCCTCAAAGGTTTGGAGGCTTCGCCGATTGTTGTACCATTGTACGGATTGCGCAAAGGGCCAAAGCTTTGGGAGGGTTGCCGGAATGAAGAGCTGGATGGAAAGACCTTCGCGGGCGAGGGAGGCGCGATGTACTTTCTTGATCCAATTTCGTCGGGAGTGTGGGCCATCAGAAAGAAAGGGGAGCCGCAGTCTTTTTGCGGGATCTTTGACATGTACGTTGACGACGGCTTGATTGTGGGACCCGTGGCCCTGTGCGAAGCTCTGGCAGAGGTTCTTTTGAGCATTTGGCAGTTGAAGATCCAAGGTTTTCTGCCAAGTGACGAGTTGGAGATTGGAGCCAAGGTCCAGGTGGGTGACAAGCAAGTAGCAGTCCGAAAGGAGCTTCAGTTTCTGGGGATGGTGATCAAACGCACGGGAGAAGGTGTGGCATTGCATCAGCATTCCTGGGTAGACACGGAATTGGAGCGGCGTGGCTGGGCGACGGTCAATGGAGCTGCTAACCTGCCAGAGATCGTGGAAGGACAGACGGAGCCACAGCACCTCGAGGTGATGCGTATGGTGCTGATTTGCATCGTGCGCAGTCGGAGGTTGGTTCCCTTTTCTGGCTGGGATTGCGGACTAGGCCGGATCTGCTTGCTACAGTTGGGGCATTGTCTTGCATGAGCACGGTGGACCCTCGGAGGACGTATAAGCTTGCCACGAATGTCTGGAGGTATGTAGCCGGGACTAGGGATAAGGTGCTTTTCTTCAAGTCTGGGACCAACCTCATCGAGGCCAAGCTTGGGTTATATGGTGACGCATCTCTGGCTCCGGGGGCATCGCGATCGAGAACGGGTGTAGTTGTGAAGTTTGGCGATCATGTCATTGCATACCGCACCCAAAGGCAATCCCTGACGGCATACTCGGCTTTCGAGGCCGAGGTTGAAGCAGCTGCTACGGCATACCAGCTCGGGACGCAGGTGAAGCTGTTTCTGGACAAGTTCCTCCAACGAAGTGCGGAAACGGAGCTGTTCGGGGATAACTCTGCTTGTGTTGGCAACCTGACCAAGGGATCGGAGTATGTGCAGCCGACCCGCACGCGCCATTTTGGCATGCGCTGTTCGTACTTGCGGGATCACCTTCGAAATGACGGCATTCCTATGCTACACATGAGTGGGGACCTGATTCCTGCCGATGGTTTGACGAAGACTCTCTCACGAGTCAAGCTGGAAAGCTCAAGGGAGAAGCTCAATGTTTTGTGAGTTCAGATCACTGGCCCTGGATATGGGTTGGTGTACAATGAACCATAATTACCGTCCCAAGTCTAAGGAATAGTCCGGCTTTGGATGGTTGCATGTTCTTGCTAATGTGGGCACACCCGGAGGGACGCCCAATCCTCACTCGTTGTGCGAAGATTCGGCGAGGAGGAGTGCAGGTGTACCGTGCAAAATGCAGGATGCATGGCCCCTGCTAAGGATGACACGCCATCACCGATGGCTCAAGTCGGAACGTGAAAGTTGAGTGATGTGTGATTTGGGGGTTTTGAATTGGGGTTTGGTGAGCCTGGGGGCTCGACAGGCCCATGGAGAGTAGGTACGATCCTCTAGACGATGTTCCTCATTCTGTTAGAATCAATATCAATAGTCCGAGTCCTCCTTCTCATTATAGCATCGTCACTGGAACTCCTTCCCCAAACACTGCTCATAACCAACAGTAATGGCGGTTCTGAGAGCTTGTGCTTTCTACGATATGAACGATGACGGCGGTGGTGAAGGTAATGATGATGGTGAAGCTGCTGGGCGTTTATGGTGAAGGTGACGATAACCAAGGCGACGTTTGCAGTGGTGGTGATGATGGAGTAGCGATGATAAGGACAATGCCAACTGGCAGGATGATGTGTCCTGTTGGTGATTGGGTCCCATATTTAGAGTTTAGAGCTGCTTTTCATGTGCGTAGTGAGTGATGTTTGTACCTTAGGATTTCTGCGACGACGCAGTGATTGCCGGCATCATGCCGCTGCTGAAACGTGACGTAAGTAGAAGCCTTCACCGCAGCAGTAGGAGCAATGCGGGTAGGTCGTGGTAACCGTAGTGGTAATGAAAGTGGTGGCAGTGGTAATTAGCGGTAGTGGTATAGTAGTAGAAGGAGGAACAGTGGTGGTGGAAGTGGTGGTGGCAGTGGTAGTGGTCATAGTGGTGCTGGTGGTGGTCGGAGAAATAGTGGTGGTAGAAGGGCGGCAAAAGGTAATGGTAGTGGTGGCGGTAGCAAGAGCAATTCCGTACATGCCCTGGTCCTGGTGCTTGCGCTGCCAGAAGCCAGGCTGATTGATAGCGGTACCGGCAGTGGTGGTGGCAGTGATAGTGGTGGTGATAGTGGTGACAGTGGCCATTCATGTTCATTATAAGCCCCTACCCAGCGCGTTTTCGAAATCCCGCCGGCAGTAGAAGAGCTAGTGGCAGTGGTAGTTGCCAGGGCGGTGGTAGTTGTAGTTGGGAGTAGTGGTGGTAGTAGCAGCAGTAGTGGTACTGTAGTGGAGGCGTTTGGAAGCAGCGGTGGTGCTACTGTGGTGGTGGTAGTGGCGGTGGTAGTAGGGGCAACAATGAAAGTGGAAGGGATGGTGGCAGTGGTAGTGGCTGCGTAGTGGTAGTGGCAGCGCTGGTAGCAGCGGTACGGGCAATGGTATCCGGTGGCAAAACTACATGCAATGGCTTCTAGTGGCAATACTAGGGGGTAGTGGTAGTGGTGGAACCAGCAGCAACAGTTGCAGTGGTAGTAGTGGAAGGGTGGTGGCAGCGGTAGATGACTTGGCAGTTGTAGAGGTAGTGGTGGTAGCGGTGGTGGTGGTGGTGGTAGCAGTTGTAGCAGTTGCAGCAGCAGCAGCAGCAGCAGTAGCAGTAGCAGTAGCAGTAGCAGTAGCAGTAGTAGTAGAAGTAGTGCAGCAGCAGCAGCTGCAGCTTCCGAAACGGACAAAGGTGGTCGACTCGTGGGGCTGATCTTCTGGAGCTGCTCTGAATTAATCGACAGCTTGATGCTGAGGTTGTCGGTGTGTAGAGGTGTAGGGTGTCTTGGTCTTGGTTTCGAGCAAGTGGCGCCAAGTTCGTTATTTTTGCTGGTTTGGGACTTCCGCAGGCTTCTTCCGAGACCAACGAACGAACGTCAGTAACAAAATCAAAACCATGGCGGCTAGAATGCGGAAGCCCTGAAGCCGAGGATTTCCAAAAAATGCAGCCCAAGCTTCAGATGCCGAACCCTTCAGGCCTGGAGTTGTTAGCGGTACTCGGCTTCTTCTTCCCTTATGAGACCTGACATTTTCTCGAGAAGGGAGAGACGTGCATTTCCGTCCGCAAATTCCGAGGATATCTGCATTCTGCGCATGATGATTTCTGGCGGCATGTCCTGGTCGACCTTGGCAGCGCTGTTGCACTAGATATCAGCTTAAATCTGCAGGGCTCTGAGGTTCTGGCTTTCCGAGGTAAGGCGGAACACCTGCAACCTCTCGGCAGACAAGGCAGCATTTGCGTCGTGATTTAACGGTTGACTTTGTGGCATTCGGGCAAGCGCATGTGACTTCTTGTAGCCCATGCGCGAACGGACTGGCAGGCAGAGTCACGTGTGACTGTTGCTGCTGGCTCTAAGTCTGCAAACCCGCACGAGTTGCCTACGCCATGATGCCAGGGGCACCAGCTCCGGATGCGTGGATTCTTGTGGAGCTACTTGGACACAGCGACAGGGACACGGAGACAGACAAGGGGCGAGCGACAGAGAGAAGTAGAGAATGCATGGTTGGGGAAGTGGAAGAACCTCTGGCTCACAGGTTGCTGTGTACCGACGACTCATTCCGCAAGCGCGGCGTTGGAAAGCTGCTCCTGGTGGGGCCCTCAGAGTCTTGGTGAGGCTGCTTGTGCCAACCGTTGCTTTTTTTGAGCTAATCGAATTCCGGGCTATCGGGGCGGACCAAGCGTGTTTGGGAGTTAGAAGCCGACGGCGGGGTACATGAAACTTCCATCGTTCTGGCAGTCCACTTCTAGTGGGCGAATCTACTGTCCCAGCAGTACACGGAGTCAAGGAAACGGGATTGGGAGTTTCGGGATGGCTGCTCGGCTGCTCGAAGGGGATGCATGCCTCTGCAGGCTCTTGGTTCTTGATGTTTCTAGTCTAGCCCTCTTTGACGGCGAAGTTCGCATCCTGTCTCACAAATCTGCCTTGCAGCAGGTGGCAGCCCTGGCATACTCCACCGTTAAGGTTTGCCGGACTTGGGTCGTAGTTTGAGGGTCTCCGAAGCATTCCGGGTCGGGGTCTGAGGCTGGACCCTTCGCCTTGAACCCTGTAATTCTGGGGCTGTAGCACCCGAGCCCCAAAGCCCAAACGTTCGCGAGTCACACGCCGCTTCAAGAGCCCTGGAGGACGGTAAAACCGCAGCTGTGCTGACTCTCGGCCACGGCGAGGCGAATGAGCCTGCTGCAGAGCTGTATCGGTGCCTCGGCTGTGGATGCACATGTACACACATGCATTTGAACTATTCCTTTCTGGAATTGATCTGGTTATTGTTTCGTCTGTCGTCATTGGTGGATACGTATAACCCTGGACCATGGGAAAACCCTGATAAGAATGGCAACATGACCGGTAGCCAACATTGCAGGAACTCCTACTGTACATCGCAAGTTGCAAGAACTCACAACAGCGAGGCGCAGTTGACAGTGTGCTGCACCTGACTCTCACCTGATTTCTCGACATGCTGCATGGCGGATGACCGTCGTGCTGCACAGATCATGAAGTGTTTCAACATGCTTCCAGCTCAGCTGCACCAGAAATGTTGCCATGCCTATGACTGTTCAACAGTATCCCAACAGCAAGTGTGAGCTATGCATTTCTTGCAGCATAACATGTCAGAAGCAGGATATCCGTGTCCAATCGATACGCCCCTCGCTGGTGGGCCAAAAGCATTCAGCACGGACCGTACGCATCACCAACATGAGTTGACGGAGCCTCCTGCGAAGGAAGCTCGGTTTCCATCCGATGCCTGCCGAGCTGTTCGTGGATGCATCAAAGGACCAGGAGCGGTCCCTGTGCTTGCCCGAAGACCCGGACTCGAACCAATCGCCGGCTAGTCTTCGTGCTGCAATGGGTAGCATCCTGCCTCACCCGACTGATTCCACACAAACTACCACCAGAGTTGAAACAACAACCAGAGTGCTCGAGCAGACACCCAGGGCCAAGCCCCGATCAGAAACAACGCCGGCAATGCATCAGATTCATTGCTTCCGTGGCAGTCCCGAAAGACGTAAGTACTTGGAGTAAGGAACCGTAAGTGGATTGAGTAGCGAGCAGTACGCGGTAGGTCGTACGTAGTACGTACGAGTAGTACGTAGTACTTAGCTGGGAGAAGTAGTAGAAGAAGTAGTAGAAGAAGCCATAAGTAGTAGGAGCAGTAGTAGTAGCAGCAGTGGTGGCAGAAGTTGTAGTCGGAGTCGCAGTGGTAGTGGTAGTGGGGGTAGGGGTAGTGGTAGTGGCCGTGGTAGTGGTAGTCGGGAGTGGTAGTAATAGAAATAGAAGTCGCAGTAGAGGTAGTAGTAATAGCAGTAGTAGTAGCCGTAGTAGTCGTAGTAGCAGTAGTAGTAGCAGTAGTAGCAGTAGTAGAAGTAGTAGTAGTAGTAGTAGTAGTAGTAGTAGCAGTAGTAGCAGTAGCAGCAGCAGTAGCAGTAGTAGGTTTAGTAGTAGTAGTAGCATCAGTAATTCGTAGGAGTAGTAGGAGTAGTAGGAGTAGTAGTGATTGTCACACAAGTAGTAGTAGCAGCTGCAGCAGTGGCACCAGGAGCAGTAGCAGCAACATCACAGCGTGCACAACAGTAGAGTAGCAGGAGCAGGAGCGGGAGCAGGAGGATGAGCAGTAGTAGTAGTAGCAGCAGTACTAGTAATAGTAGTAATAGTAGTAGTAGTAGTAGTAGTAGTAGCAGCAGCAACTGTAGTAGTAGTAGTAGTAGTAGTAGTAGTAGCGGCAGTACTAGTAGTAGTCGTAGTAGTAGTAGTAGTAGTAGTAGTAGTAGTAGTAGTAGTAGTAGTAGTTGCGAACGGACTACGATGCCTAGTCAAGTTCTACGGTGTCACGATAAGAGCTGTGAGCAAGGCCATGTATAGGTCAAGAGAGAAGGCACGCTACGCGTCCTTCGTCTCTAGGTTTGGGCTTGTGGAAGTGCTACGCACGCCGCAATGCCGAACCTTCCTGTATGCTTTCCGCCCACGCAACTTTGGCTCAAGTGTGAGCACATGCTCTAGAAAGCATTGCCCATAGCTAAAAGCTATTCGTCTTCTGTGACCTTCCGAGGGACAGAGCCATCCCGAGCACAGACGATCCATCGCTGGCCGCGAGAGTGCAAAACAAGCGAGCTTTGGATCTGCCTGCAAGGGGAGTGTGGCTTACGTGTGAGAAAGGGAAAGAGAGAGTGGCTGAGTTCGTAGAGGGCAACCACGCCAGTATTCAACATAGCTCTGTGGGGTGAGCAACAAGGGCAACATCAAGATCAAATCCCCACGCAGGCTTTCTACAACAAGAACTACTTGATCTACCATTTCCACAATGAGCTCGGGATCAAGTCAAGATACGATTACGACAATGACTTTCGGTGCCGACGTGGCAGCGCCGGCAGTCGGTGATTCGACTGCTGATGACACAGTGGTGCAATCCATTGATAGTTCCACGGAGGATGACAAAGGTCAGCCTTCAGCGCTCGCCATCGCAAAGGCAGTTCCCAAAGCAAAAGCGAAGAACTCACCAAGAGCATCTACGCCGTCACGTCCAACATCCTCAGGATCAAGGACTGGCAAAGCTACAGAACGACGATCTGAAGCATCTGGTTTTCAGGTGCCAAGGACCCCGTCGAGAACAAAGGACAGAGGAGTGATAACATTGGAGAAGAAGTCTAAGCCAGCGTCTTCGAGAAGCTCTTCGGCACGGTCTAGGACGTCAGCTACCAGAGGACGGGACAGGTCCATGACATGGAGGAAGATGGTCACCAATCATCCCCATGAAGCCGACGATGCAGACATGACCCTTGATACCATACCGGTGCAAGGTGACGCTTCATCGGCTGCCACCCCGGCCATAGCCGATGGTTCGAACATCTATCAGGAGATGCGACAACAACTTGAGAAGCTTCGAGTCTTGCTCAGCAGATGTACTACCGAAGCCAAGTGCAAGAGTATGAAGGTGTCGTGAAAACCCTGATGGAAAAGATCAAGGAGATGCAACAAGAAGATGAGGGATCTGGACTTCGCATCGAAGAATTGGAGCGACAACGTGATCACGCATGCTTGGCCATGCGGCACATCAATAATGTCAATCAGGGGATGAAACGAGACTATGAAGCGGCGTTGTTCCGAATGGATGAACAGAACTCTGCTCAACAGCGTCGAGGACATGCTGTTGCCGAAGAGCTCGCCTAACAGCTTCACATGTTTCGAACAGAAGCGGCTACGAACTTCGTGCAGTTGGAAAAACGAGCTCAAGGCGACGGAGAACTCATGGCGCGCGAGTATGAGCATCTGACACAGGAGCTCCATGAGCAAGCCAGGGAGAACTTATTCCTCCGATCAAGCACGGCGAGTTCTGAACAAGCCATGCATGCTATGCAGGAACGATTCCTTCTCGCCAGGAACCAGGAGTTGCGAGTCATGAACGATATTCAAGGATTGGCTGGAAACAGTGCAGCACTCGATCAAGAACGTCTTCGACTTCGTGAACGACTTGGTGAAGAGGAAGAGTATCGCAAAATGGCAGTGAAGAGGATGCAAGATGCAGAAGATCAGCTTCAGCAGAATGAAGATCACGCGAGGCAGGCGTTGCCGACCTTGCACGATGAGCTGAACGATCTCAGACGAGCGCTCAGAACACAGGAAGATCTTCAGTCAAGGACGCGCAGCGAGCTGGAGGCGGCACGAAGTTCCAACATGCATGCTGGACCAGCCCGACCTCCGAGTATGCCCATGTCTTCAAGGACTACTGAGTCTGGCTGGGAACATGTAGGAAAGGAAGTAGTACCTTCATTTTCTGCAGGAGGTGAGGTACGATCCCCTGAAATACGATCTCCTAGTCAGGTTAGTCCAGTCGCCAGAGGGAAGTTCGCATTCTCCGAATCGAACAAAGATAAGAATCTCGTTACGGACGATATGAAGTTCACGGGTGGAAGCTATTTCATCGGCAACCTGAAGGGAGAGGTCGATCCGCCTCATGGAACAGCACCAATCGTAGCAGATTCGGTACCCGCGCACAACGTGCCTCGTACCAACAATCCAGCACTTGAGCGTTCCACGCCTAGTGCAGCTGAACTCTTCGGCATCCCGGCCACGCCGAGTGCCGCCGAATTGTTTGGCATTCCAGCTA